TATTTTACGGCATAGTTTACAGAGTTTTAATGTTAATTAATATTATACGCATCATCGTATCGGTTTAATTTTATTCATTATTAAATTTAATTGATATGCAATATTTATTCTTACATATAAAATTTCTTTAATACGATTATTTCATATATATTTGGAGATAAGCCTCATTTACAAGAATTAATAACTTAGTACTGTATATACTTTTAGGCCGGGATTCATAGTCACTACTTATTCTTAAGCAAATGCTTAAGTTCCCAGTTATGAATGTATACGTGTATACGTATGGACTACACATTTATAATTAGAGACTTAAGCATTTGCTTAAGAATAAGCAACGACTATGAATCCCGCCCAAAGCGCGTTCTCTTTACATTCTTATAGGGAATTTCAACGATAACCCTTCAGAGAGATCAACTCCGCTTTCCCTCTGCTGGAAATTTCAACGAACGCGAGCAGAGCTGCGTCTGCAGGACGAGTTCCTCCAGATCTCTGCTGGTTACAGAAATATTTTTCCATTCAATATTGTACTTCTTTATACAATTAATTTTGGATATTCATATAATTATTCCAACTCCTAATTATTATATTCTTCTGTGTCAATAATTTGTAATTGTTTAAGTTTTGAATTGCAATATTTCTTCGTCCTTATACTTTTTTATATTTATAATTTCTGAAAATTTAAATTACAGTATTACTGTAGTGTTAAGTGTTAATTGTGTTTATTTAGTTGAATAGACTTTAATATTTTTAATTATATACCTTTCTGATTATTACATTTCTGCATTGTTCTAATTTTTAATTTTACTTTCTTACATCTCTACTTACGTATACTGTTTTATTCAAAGCATTTTTTTCACAATTAACTATGTAGAATTGTTATTATTATATTTTAAATAAATATTTTTCTAAAAATCACAAGATATTTAAAAGAATATAGCGCTGTTCTTTCTACTCGAAGAGGTATTTGAAAATGTTGAATTGACTAAAATCAGTACACCGTTGACCTCACAACCAATCCGCGTAATAATTAATTCGGCCAGTCAGTATCGACCTACCCGATCAAGAGATTAAAATAGCCTCTTTTCCTATTTAATTCCCCTTTTCATTCGTGAATCCAGACAGCTACCTCTGATTCGGACTGACCAATAGTTTTGCGATTCAGGTTACACCGAATACACTTCACAGTTATTCCCAATAGGAAGGAAAAATATTAGCAGTAAAATAATTTTGTCGATTTTAATTTTCAATTTCTCAATTTCAGTACTATTCATGCATCACAGTACGTACATAAATACTTCAATTTATTTTGGCAGCGTGGTTTGTTCCAAAAGTAATAAAGCTGTATTTATAAGAGATTTTCTTTATTAAATTTTTAAGTTTTGTTTCCTTGGGATCTGACACGCCGATGGAGACATTTCTCCTATTCCTTGAAACAGTGCTAGAATCCTTCTTTTCTTAAGAAGTTTACTTGATAGCTCGTGACCGTTTGAATGTTTTGAACTGTATCAAAATGTTGACATTATAAATCATTTTTTATTTTCGAGAATAAAAAAAGGCTACAGGGACTAATATCGGAGGATTCAAGGGGTGGTGGTACCATTGCAACTAGAAATTCGTTCAAAGACAATGTAATGTGGTAAGGAGCGTGGTTGTGATATAGAAACCAAGAGTATAAAATGACAAAACTCTAAGTTAAAATTTAATGAACAACCCAATAACTCATATTTAATTCTTCTCCTATCATTTTCAGTGTTAATCGTTGATAAGATTGGACTAAGAGTGCTGCCTTTACCACGTTATCATCCATTTCTGCTGTGAAAAAAAAAATAAATTATATATCTGACTAATGATTAATTCAAAGACCTACGGTTATTAGGATATTTTTATACCATATTTTAAGATTATTCTGTAATCTTTTGTGATTCCATTATTATTTTATGGTATCGCTTTTGGTTCATGAGTGTATTTCTCTCTGTATTTCACTCCTACCCTTATGCTTAACTCTATATTTATTTTTGCAATTCTTTTTGCTGTTGTTACTGCATAAATCGTATCACACATTATACGTTACAGTATCTCTGATATTTTTCATATTTTATAAATGGTAATTATTCGTGTACTTTTATTAAGTTGCAACAGGAAATGTTACGTACTTCTTATAATGTTAATTGACAAGAGTTATTCAATATTTCATTATAGTTTGTGGGAATTGATTGTTTCCCTGCAAGCAAAATTATTCTTCTGCTATAATAAACAAATAATAGGAGATAAAGGGATTAAGGATTTCTAATATTTTCAGAAACAGCGTAAAATAAAAATGTATTTATCATTTTCCATATTATATGATCACAATATAACATTGTGTATATACAAATTGTTAATACTAAATAAATAAATAAGTAAGAAAGTAATAATTATTTGATCTTGAGAACTCGCAGTTCGCGAACGTGCTCGTTCATGTTAATCTGATAAAAAGTAATTAATTAGTGTTCATACGTCAAATCATCGTTTAAATACCCCGTCAGACAAGATTTGCACTGTCGTAACACTGTTGCCGTTATTAATGAAATTTTCACGAATACAGTAATCCCGAGAGCATTATGAAAAAATTCGTGATTGAACAAATCATTGTTCATTACAGACTAATTTTCCTGAACATTAACTTCTGACACGCGAAACCAGACAACACTCTTCTATAGTCCTGCATAATTGATTAAATTAGCGAACGGTACGATGTAATCACATAACAACAGATCTTTCCGAAGACGTGGCTACTTTCATCCAAGACTACTTTATCCTGTCTTCCGTCAGAAATATAATAATAAAATTATTACCATAAATAATTGGCTCATCAGCTTTCCATCTAATTATCCAAGAAGCACGTGCTTGCAGCCGACACGTAGATAAGCCATCGAACACTTATATAACAAATGTCGAACAAAAAAAAACGTGCAAATGTTACGAAATGATGTAAATTATGAAACAGTCTGACACTTGTTGATTGTTTGCATAATCGTAATTTAGTTCTAATAGCAGGAATTCGATTTAAAGCAAACTTTAAAATTATGCAGATTGTTATACGTTTCATTGTTTCCTAGATTTTTATATCTCCACCCAAAGTAATTTTCTCAAAAACTACGCTTCTTATGAACAAATTTTATTGTATATTCTCGGTTTATTTTTACATGTCGAGTCACCCTCTATCCGGCAGTACCTCTCTAAACTACATATCATACATTCTTACACACTCTAAGCTCAGACGACTAATTTGATTATTACGTTAAAGCGCTTTCATTTGATAACTATATCGAATACCATTTTGAAGACTAGTGTCTTCATCACGAAATTTCAGAAACTATTGACCACGGTCGTAAACGCTCGCAGTACAATACTTTTACCGAATCTAGTTCAAATGTTGTTTACTGTATCTGTTGCACGGTGATCAAGTTAAAAATACAGAATACACTATGTTACATGATTCGCACTACTGTTCTAAATCCTTATATGTACGATTTTTTCTTAATACTTAATTAACGGAAACCTAAAAAAAGTGTCTAACTTCATTGGATACGTGTATATTCTTGATAATTAAATTATATAAACTTTCGAAGTTTTGAACTATTAGCTCAATTGGACTGGATTAAATTATAACATAATTTATTTATTTAAAACTATATGTATTTGTCTATTTAATTTTAATAAATGAATTTTATACGTACTGTTTTCTTAAATTTTGAATGCGGAACGAATGAATGTATGTTTTGACAAAATAAAAATCGTTGCTATAACATAATTAAAAATCTGTTTCACAATTTAAAATGTGTTTTTGAAATTTGCTTTCGTCTCTAGATTTGTTAAAAAATGTTGGTATCAGTGATTTCTTCGAAACGTCAAGATTGTCGATTTGTTTATACAATAGTAGTAAATCAACGAACAGAACTACTGTAATAACATAATGTTAAAAGTTTTATTAACATATACATCACTCTGATAATGATTATTAAACACGGTTGTATCTTCTTTTCTCCTAACATTCTTGTTAGCATAATGGAACTGACTGACGAACTGTTCTGTAAAAAAATTGATTCGGAAACTAGGAATATTCTCCGATATTCTGATGCTCCGATCCGTTTCTCGATTCTGGCCATCCGGTCACACTCTCACGCTTTAGGCGGTCTACTTAGTAGAACGTAACGTTGCCCCCTCGAAGCGTCTCGTCGAGCCAAGAAACTATAAGTAAGCTCGTTATAGATCCTTTGGAACTTCTTTTTCTTCTTGTCGTCGAACCTTGTTCGATAACTTTCAAATTAGGTCATGTTTATTACACCGTCTTTATCGGAAACTTCTGTCGTATTTCACCAATGTCTCAACAATGAACTGGAATCCTTGTGTACAGAAGGTATACACAAACAGAAAGACGAAAGAATGCCAACTATCTTGCAGTGGCGAATAATGAAAGAATAATACCTTACTACAAGTCTCACAGAAATTTCCAACAAATCGAACAACTGAGCACGTAACTGTTTCTCTAGCCTAAATATTGTACAGCAAATGAAAGTACATGCTACTTCACACCTGACTTCAAATAATCATTTGCTGATTTATTGCATTTATTTATTCATCTATTCTAAAAACCACGTTGCGGTCTACATGTTTTCATTATTAAATAATTTGTTTAGTTACTTTTATTTAAAATTGTAACCTCGTTGAGAGAAGATGAGCAAGAAGAAATATTTCTATCCTATTTACAATTTTGTTAATGTAATGTTTGTTGTGTTCATACATATACTATCAGTGAAAATGCACGAGTGACATTTCAAGTGATGCTTTCTGTGTACGAGGAGTATATTCACTAGTAGATAAAGTTAGCGTCTTCGATCGAGGACATTAAAAACGTGGTAGTTATGTAAAAGTTATTATCTTCAATATTTTTCAGCTATCAATACATCCAGTGTGTATTAAAGAAGTGGTCGTGATGCATTCACTCTAACCATTAGAAAATGTATGTAGGAAAATACGAGGAAGGTTCAGAAATATACCTCGGTGTCGTACCTAAAAATATGGATGTTGTGATGAAACGTAAATATAACATAGTGAAATCCTTTGTGAAAATAAAAATGAGCAAGGTAATAAAGGTGACTTCATGAAGAGGCATTTGTCTTTGTTTTCACAACATCCTTGCACAGATTAGCTGTAACATTAATTGTCGGAGTTATATAGATTATGCGAAGTTTACTCATTTTTGTGAACTATTGACCCATAAAGTTGTAACGGTGTTTTTAAAAACACGTTCTGTATAGATACAAGACTATCGAAATGCCTAAAAATATTTATATTCTCAAAACCTATATGCAATCGATCGTTTCACGTTGTAATATCAGTTTTGTCACTTGTCATTCTTCGCAAATACATGAAATAAATTTTCCATTATTCGGCTACCACGAAATGTAATATTGCGTGTACAATCTCAAAAAGATTTATGGATATGTAATGAATTTTATCTTATATTTTACTATGTGGGTATTAAATGGCCCACCGCTATTCATATCTCTGGTAATGGTGATTTCAACACGCTTATAGAAAATTCCCCTATCCGGACGCTCATGTCTCCCTATACATTCGGATCCTGTAGGTTCTTCTGTACTTTCGTGTATACAGTTTAATCAGTTTTACATCTACCAAGTTTAGGTTACTAGTTAAGCGAGTCAAATACATTATTTTTATTGCTCTGGTTCCATTGTATTGATATATATTTGGTATTTAAATTATACAATATTTTTAATTTAACAAAGCAATTAACTGGAAAAAACTTTCATTTTATTTCCGTTTTTGCAAATTAATGTAGAAAAACATAAATCTGTATAAATCTCCACAATCTGATGTAAAACATTTCTGAATAGAATATTAAGATTATAGTACTTCTCAGTAGTAGGACCATTACAAAATATTGTAGTTTGAATTAGACTTCTATTTCCACAATGGAAAATAGGCATTTCATTAAAGTCTGAAGTAACATCACTAACATGTAGATCAATAATCATCCACCTTATATATAATTAGTCGACGTTCTTTCTGGAAAACTTTCTTTTGAAATAAAATAATGAATCGCTGAAGAGTCAGCAGTGAAGAATCATTCATTATTGATTCAGAAGAAAACAATTTTCCTACGCGAATGTTTTTAATACTTACCATGATCAATGTCCATTCAGGTCGAATGTTATTTTAATTATCGCTGTTGGACTAATAGTGCATTATTCTTTTTCGATCTGCCGATTCATGCAAAACAAAATTTTTCTTAACTTTCATTGTTCATTCAATTTCGAATTATCATAATGCAAATTATGTTCTCGTTATTAGAAAATAGGGTAAGAAATATTGTTATTTTATCATAATCCAATGTTGGGCCCAAGTATTACTCATAGAAAGTGAAAACTGTTCTACCCTTTCTACTGTAAATTTATAGAACAAGTGAAAACGTGACAATACGCTACGACATTTCTTCTTTGACACGCTATAAGTCAACAGTGTATGACGAAATTGCAAACAATATTATTGATTGGCACATATTTGTAGCCTTGGATTAGCTGCCAGTAAAACTACGATAGAAGTTCGAGTGCTGTCACTTATGAATTTTATACCACGAAGAGTCAAAAAATTGTTTGAATATAAATCCAAGAATGGCAAAAACTCTTTAATCTATAAATCAGGCGACATTTCGTCCACGAGTGTCCATACGAACACAGTTAAAAATGAACAATAACGGTTTAAAATCACTTGCTTCGCAATAGGCATAATCACAGTCTAAAATTATCTCAGTAAATCGATAAGTATTCGGGTAAATAAAACAAGAAAGCTAAACATTTTCAGAAGGCAAGGTTGAATGCCAATAACGTCAAGTAGTCGTCTCCGACCAAGATGTTGAAAGTTAAATAAACAACGAATTCGTTGGCATAACGCCTTAGCGTGGTCACGATTTAAATAAAAAAAACAGCGAAACTTCCCTGGGAACCGCAAAATCCTGAGATAAGTGTGGCCATCGGTCACCAATTTGTATCCAAAGAAATCCAAACTCCATTTCGTTCTCCACGTCCAGAGGCACCCCCTTTTTCCCATCAGCCCAGAGTCGTACAGGTGAAGCTCATATCGACCTGCCGCCAGAAATACCGCGCAGCATCGACCGTCGCCGTTATACCTGTTCTTCCTCTTCCCCCGGGGACGTGCCACCCCTTCTACCCTTCCCGCCAACGCAGAGGGTGCACGAAGAACAGAGCAGAATGGGGATGCGGATAGCTTGATGGTGGAGGGTTTGGGGGCTGACGCACGGCCTCGGTGCCGCGGCCAATCCCTGTATCCTGGAAACGGCGACTGCGCCCTGTCACAACGTTCCTCGAAGGCTAGGGGATCATGGGGACGGGAAGAGGGTGACGTACGACACGGTGGCGGGGAGTACTCCGAGGGCAGACGTTCCAAAGCCACCCCGACGGAGAGACACGCCGAGACGCCCCAGCCATCGGGAGCCCTTCGGTCTCAGTAAGTATTCTCAGTCACCAGGTATTTCAGACTTCCACGTCACCGACTGATTAGTCGAGGACCACGGGGAATACACTGTGTCGACTAGAAAAAATATATCGGTACATCAATGAACCACTGACGAATCGGACCGCTACCAAAACGACCAGAACAGTTTTCTACTGGACACAGCTTACACCCCCGGATGGCTCAATCATTATTCATGGTTCTGTTTGCACGAATATCAATACGTGATTCTGACTTCAACCCTTCATAAGGACTATAGAGGTAGAATAGATCCGTATAGGAATCTCCATGGGAGTTACGTCGTCAGTCGGTTCTGTTGAGATCACCAAGTTTCCTAGTTCGAGGTAGCTGTGCATCGATTGGTAACGCTGATATTGATTTTTGGTGGCTGGATTTGAAGAAATTATTAATGTTAAAATTCTTCGAGCCTAATTCTTTTAGTTTTACGGTGCTTCGGTGGTTTCCTGCTAACTTGTTTTTATTAATATTGGAATCGTTTTAATCGGTTTTGGTGGGCTTCATTTTAATTTGGTAGTGCTTTTGCACAGTGGTAGTGCTTGCACAGAAATTGCTAGTTCTGGAATGTTTTAAATCCAGATGTTATTGTGCTCTCGTGTCCTTTTGGGAATGCATCTTGGACAGGTTCTCCAGTTTGGAATTTGTATGGCACATGAGTTACTTTTAAACCAATGATGTTACACAGTACCAATTTTCGGCAGTTATTGCTTTCTTAATATTCGTCTTTGTATGTTTTGCGTATAGTCTTCGTGTAATTTGATAGAGTCTATCCGAATTCCACTCCTAGGCAGGTTGTTAATTTTGGAATTCTTTGAATCTCGATTCTCTTTATTTTCTGAATTTTTAATTTTTCTAAAATCCTTTCATACAAGGCATTTTTTTAATATTAATTTTCAAATTATTACAGTGCTGATTTTACTTTCTTTTGATGGTACTTTTATGTAGAGTCTCTTTAATATGTAAGGTATAGATGGCTGGATGTTATAGATAGATGTAGAAATTCCAAATATACATTGCCCAGTGGTAACGTCCATAAGACAATAGAAGGGTTAGGGGAATTGTGTCGGTAGCAAAAAAGGAACGCAAGAAAACAGCTTACGGTCTATCGATGGAAAATACGTGTTAGGGACCGACAACTTAACAGTTGAATTGACAATGAGTGTTGTTAGATATTCTTGTGTCCAGTAGTTAAAGCCACGAAAGCAAAAGTAACAACACATTTTTTAATCAAACGACATTTTAATTTGTTAGAACGGTGCTTACACAATGTTGCAGTCTGTGTTTCTTAATATATTAATGACTCAAATGATAATTAATACATTCATGATGGAGTAACCCATAAAAGACATCTAGTCATTATTTAAAAGAAGGCTTGAACACAAGACACTTGACTGCTGACCGTATAATAATTAATGCAAATCTTTGTGAATAATTTGATTCACCTACAACTCATCTATAATTGAAAGGTTGTCATAGTATACGCATATCGTAATTGATGAAATATCAAACTAAAAAACCTGATTCACTGATACAAGGATTTTTAATTAAATGCTCTTGTTGCAATAATACAAAAAAAAACTTGTGAATAGATAAACTTATTGAAGGTCATTATACCATAATGGCACAGTATTGTTATTCTCATTCGTAGCAGTCAATCTCGAATTTCTAATGTTCTTCAATTCGTTAGAATAATACGTTAATTACTACACGGTACACACATATATATATATATACTACACAAATAATTATTTCTCATCCATTCCAAACGGAGAAAAACGGAATGAATTTTTTGTGTGCAGGTTCGGTTCGAAATTCAGCTGAAAAGGTGGAGGGCCCAGGGACGCGAGGTGCCAAGGAGTCGTTAAACGACTCGCAGGACGAGGACGTTGCGGACGTCGGCTCCACGCTGAGCAGCTTGTTCGCCGGACTTCCGGCTTTGGTGGGTCCCCAACGCCTCGCCAACTCCCTCAGGCAGAAGTTTGCCAATAACTCCGGTAAGTTTACGAATTTTCTTCGGTCCACGGCGTCCCCTCCTCCCTTTCCCCTCGTCAAGGAGGCTCGTTACGTTCGTTGACGAAGTTATCGTCCCCCTGCACGCTCACCAGTCACCGTAATTAATAAACGAGGGTGTTGACACGCATCTAACTACCTTCCGCGGGATGTCGGTATACAAACGAGCGTTTCAGGATAACAATTAATCCATTTCTGACAATCCCGTAGTGCTTGAGTGAAGCGAAACACGACGTCCCTTAATCTTTCGAACTGTTAAATATAACGATTTTCGGAGAATTGGTTGTTCGTGAAATGGAAGGAAGAAAATACGATTCTAAGGGATGAAATCCATTATGTCATATTCTTTGGAAATTTGTACGTTGTGTTAATAATTTGAGAGGCGAACGAAATCTTTCTGTAGGTGAGATGTACGTGAGATCCTGAAAAGCCTGTGATGCCTAATTTATGCATCTCAGGCCATTTCGATATCCTCAAACTTGTCGAAAAAGTATTATGCATTACTTAGTACATACAAATATAAAGGTACTCTAGAAAATCTGCAAAAACGTTTAAAATTTCAAAATTTCGAAAAAATGTTGTTTCTATTCACTTATATCCAATATCAGAAGAATCTGCCATATGGTCCATTCCTTATACCAATAATGTTTAATCGTACATTTCTTTTACAATGGGTCTCATTAAAACATCCCCGATTTATAAATTTCCTTTTTCAAGTTCCATCACGTTTTGCAGCATTTCGGTATTATAGAAAAGAGTACGCCCTTTTTTGTACTTGAAAGACCGAAATGATGGTTGTTTCAATCAAACAAGATAGAATTCTTTCATATTTGACCAATTTCTACTTTTGGTATTTACGTGGCCAATTGCGTAATTTAACAGAATTTGAATAATTTTAGTATTAAATAATGCTACATTCTGTTTGAGTTCATTCTCAAAGACAGAATTATTTTGTTATTTATAGTGACTGTGTCATAATCTTAAAAGTATCTAAATGTTTCAATAATCAGTAAGAGTACTGCAAAAATTCTTGGTAATTTTTCGATACAAAACATTTATAATGTATAATTTCCTTAACTAGTGCAGCTGCTTTATATACCAAGAGTGTGTTGATCTCAACAATTGATTCTTAATTTGATTATCAATTAATCACTATGATTGTATAATTTTTTCAAATTGTTCTTATATTGTACAAATGTGGAGGAAAAAGTAACAGAAACCTAATTTTCTAACGTAAAAATAGTCTTCAAAAGAGAACTCGCCATGAAGACATAAAAACATGGTCCTTGTACTTCAATAATAGTTTTAAAATTTCGAAAACAGAAGAACATAATGCGAAATCACAGTGATATTGAAACTTATAGAATTAATGACTCAGCAACCAAAGCGACTAACTCCCATCTCTATAAGTTTCTCAGCTTTAATATTTTTGCATACTTATTTGTATGCATTCTCTATGTTGCCATATAACAATTATTCAATTTCAAGCCGAATTACAAAAGTGTTGATAATACTAGTCATCTTTGTCAACCTATTATGTGAATCCACAAAGGCACATAATCATCAACAAGAATTATTGTAACATTATTACTCATTGAAACGTTATATTCTAACAGATAACATGATTAACTGTAACATGGTTTCTCATTACGAAAAAGTAACATACCAGACACTTTCATGAAACAATTACCACAAGCTGTATTTACGAAGTAAATTCACATCGACGATTCGACCTTTACCCTTGTTTTACTGGCAACAACCCATATTTCTATCTCCGGTAACTTGATACTCAGTAGAAGATATAGGTAGCTGGTTACCTCGAGGGGGAGCCTCCACCCGGTGTTAGGGTCTACCAGAAGCAACCGAGGAATCAACTTCTCGCTAGACGCAGTGAAAACCTTCATCAAAACGAAGATGAACTTGTCCGCGCCATCTATGGTGACAAAAGGTCGGGTTGGGGTGGGATAAACGCCGATCAGGCCGGGTCAGGGCTCCCCTACATCTGAAACTTCAAATTTTCTCATTGGCCCGCTAATTCAGTCTAACAAACCCAAAGGAGACAGGAGGTCGACTAAAAGAAATAAAATAAAAAGATTGTATGATTTCGGGAGTTAACCGTGCCAACTCGGTGATCTGTTGTAGGTTATCCCCGGCCCGGCCTGATGCGCCCCAATCGCGACGATCGCTTCGTCACTCCCGAGTTTAGTTGTTATTAAACCCTGGAAGACGATCCTGATCCATTAAAGGCGACTACCTAGACCACCATGTCGACGACCATACCCATTCTGAACATCGAGCTCAGCGAGCTCAAGGAGCTCGTCTGGATGAAGTTGCAAGAACCGAAAGCTCAACGAAAACTCGTTCTAATCATCGTCTCCATAGCCTTGCTACTCGACAACATGCTGTACATGGTAATAGTGCCCATTATACCCGACTACCTGAAGTATGTGGGTGCATTTGGAGATATCGAAGAAGAAGTCAATGGAACTGCAGCACCAGTACATCACGGCCAGGATTCAGCCACGGGGATCTTGTTCGCTTCTAAAGCCATCGTTCAGTTAATGGTGAATCCTTTCTCCGGAGCTCTGATAGACAGAATCGGATACGACATACCTATGATGATAGGACTCTGCATAATGTTTCTATCGACTGCTGTGTTTGCCTGTGGAAGGAGCTATGGTGTTCTCTTCTTCGCCAGAAGTCTACAGGGAGTGGGCTCAGCTTTTGCTGACACTAGCGGTTTGGCTATGATAGCTGATCGTTACACAGAGGAGTCGGAACGGTCTAAAGCACTCGGTATAGCATTGGCCTTTATCAGTTTTGGATGTTTAGTGGCTCCACCATTTGGTGGTGCTTTATATCAGTTCGCTGGGAAGGAAGTTCCTTTCCTGATTCTCGCATTCATCAGTTTAGCTGATGGTTTCATGCTTCTGTTAGTCATGAAACCTCTGAGAGAACAAGTGAAAGAAAGGCGTAGTGACCAAGCGCCTTCAATACCTATTTGGAAACTGCTCATGGATCCCTACATCGCTGTCTGTGCTGGAGCGTTAATGATGTCCAATGTAGCTCTAGCTTTCCTGGAACCAACAATTTCACTGTGGATGGAGGACAACATAACTCATGACAATTGGAAAATGGGAATGATCTGGCTGCCAGCATTCTTCCCTCATGTGTTCGGTGTCATAATCACTGTTAAAATGGCAAAACAGTATCCCCAACATCAGTGGTTGATGGCTGCCTCAGGCTTAGCTCTGGAGGGTTTCTGCTGTTTCATTATACCTTTCTGCACCTCCTACAAAGTTCTTATGATTCCTATATGTGGAATCTGCTTCGGTATAGCTCTAATAGATACTGCTTTGCTGCCAACCTTGGGCTACCTGGTGGATGTGCGATATGTTTCTGTCTATGGTAGCATCTATGCTATAGCGGACATATCATATAGCGTGGCGTACGCAGTTGGACCCATAATAGCAGGTGGAGTAGTAGAAGCTATCGGTTTCACTGCTTTGAACGTGGGCATCGCCTTCTCGAACCTTCTCTACGCGCCCGTCCTGGTGTACTTGAAGCATATTTACGACTTCAAACCATTCCAGGATGAAGCTGATGTCCTCATGCAAGATCCACCTGACAAAGAATACCAAACGTATGTACTGCAAGAACAACGACCTCTTTCTGGCGACGTAGGAAATCACTTGAATCAAACACGTATGGAGACAAACGTAGATCAAGGTTATGAACATAACTACCAAGGACAGAGTTACGAGCAGCCCGAGTATGGGCAGAATGTTAATGCTTCTGGCTACAATCAGACGCAGGGAGGATACGAGCAGCAGCCTCCTGGCTATGAGCAACCAACTAATTATAATCAGAATGCTCAGGGTTACATTCAAAGACCCTATGGGCAAGAACAGCAGAGTCAGATGGATGCCAATCCATTCAGAAGACCTAATGTTGAACAAAGGCCTGCTGGTGATAGTAATCCCTTCAGGCAAGGAATGTACTAATGCATTGATGGCGCATTGCCACTGAAGAATCTTCGAGACAAGCTTCCAGTTATCAAGAAGATAAAGTATGACGGCGCTCGGTTTCTTTCTGTAATCATGAAGTGTGTCATCCTGTGATTCTAACTTGTCGAGGAAGACTTCCAAAACGATTACTTCGATATTGTTCATCTTATGAGAATGGATCATAAATGATTGTACCTTCAGCGATGCTCCTGCAATCCATCTATGTGGTAGTGTCGAGGAACTTCATCGATCATAGAAATTAGTGTTTTTTGTTCAAAAAGTAACAGTTTGAGGACATGTAATTGAGTTAAGAGATGATGAGTTAGTGTAGAATTGTGTGAAACTGTGGTCACAGTTTGGCGTTGACTGTCATGTTAGATCCTCAAGTTCAGGCAAGTGGTTTTTCGTTGCAGTGATATTGAGTATCTGAGTTAGAAGTACTAACACAGTACTTGATGTTGCCGGATGTTAACAAAATTTGCTACCAGCGTTGTTTAATTCTATTGAATTTTGAGTGAGCAAAGTTAAATCAAGAATAACATTACTCATATTTTGCAATTAATTTTTCTTAAAACACCGAAATTTTTTAAAAAGTTAACATGGCATTCAACGCGTCGGATAATCTCAAAGAAGATCAAAGTTTCCGGATGAGCTTCTACACCACAACGGAAAGAATGCACAAAAATAAATATGTAAGGTAAATACTTTTGAAACGTGCTACATACAAGAAGAAACGTCATATTGAATCGAAGTGTGAAATGAAGAATGTTAGAATGACAGAGCAAAAGAAGGTGATATTCGAACATAAAACGTATGAACATTGTGAGAATTTAACGAGAATACGATATAGGCGATGAGCAGAGTTGGACAAAACATTGTTTGATTAATGATTAACGACCACAATTACCGACAACAGTTAGAGTATACAGGGTGTCTCAGAAATGACAGCCAAGACAAAAATGTCGATGCTACGAATTCTTGATTTTCGAATTGAAATTCGTTTCTGTCACTGTATGTACGATTTACCGCAGAACTATCTTCTTTAAGTAGTATATTTTAACACCTCATTCTATACATTCAAAAGAAATTTTTTTATGTTATAAACTTTCAAAGGTTGCATGATAATTAAATTTATATTTACCGAAGTTTTGAAAAAAAATTTTTTAAATTTGAAAAAATTCTAACCGTACTCCAAACTTACTTACGCAGATGGAAGATTCTTCACGATAAACCGAATGCTACTATCTTTGGTCCGTTAGCGACTTTCATAAATATTAAATATTGAAACATAATTTGTATTACGATTTGACTTGGAACTAGATTAAATGTTGTTTTGACTAAACCCTGATCAACGTTTAACCCAGATATGGACCAAAGTATGTTTTAGAGACCGAGACAGAACTTTGCCTAAATCTACTTTAGATTTCTTCTATTTCTGACCTGGGTTTGATTAAACTATAATCTAAATCTAATACAGAGCAAACATTAATAATCATATTTATTGGGTAATAATAACGACTGCTTAATAAATGATCCAATGAGTAATTCGGATTTGCGGCTAATAATTAACAGAAGTGATCATAGAGTATGTAGTGGAACCAAATTTTAACCAAGATCTGGTCTACATTTACATCATTTTATTCTAGTAGTAATTTATAGTTGATCTAGGTCTTGCCTAGACCTAACCTAAACACAATCTGAAGCGAACCCAGGTAATCGAGACTAAGCCTTACTTACAATTAGACCGAATCGAAACCCGAAGTACGGTTAATGCATACATAACCGAGAAAAATGGTTGTGATCGGTGAGCAACCAATAATTATAATTTATTTCAAAAATTAGAATTAGAATTCAAAAACTCATTTGCAATTAATTGCTCAAATATTCGATACCTGATTAGAATTGATTCATTATGGTAACGAACCATTATAATAAATATTAAAAATTTCATTAGAACAGTGGTATTCGTTAACTAATCAAGTGGTTGATTAAATTATTTAATCAATACAATTTTCTTGAAAACAATGCAAAGAATACTGTAGGTTTCAAGATAAAACTACTATGAAAAATACATAGAAACTCTCCTACAAACGTATTGGTATTTAAATGTTTTTCTATCCTCGAAATGATACACAAGAAATCTTCGAACTGTTCATTTATTATGGGACACTCTGTATATATAAAATCGCAAATATCACAATCTCTTCATGGACATCAAGAGTTTGTATCTTAACCGTCTTGACAGGTATTATAAATCTGAAGTAATATTTCACTTAATGATGGTGATACATATATTTTACGAACCCACAGATAATTAACTCGAATTATTAATTATTACCATCACGATCGTTCCTTTAATCAGAAAAAAATTAAATTATTGTCCAACTCTGCTGTGACGGATGGTGGAGAGTGATCCTCAAGGACACGACTTCAGATAGAATAATAGCAACGGAGGCTTCCCTTAGTTAAGGGGTCAATTTAAAACTTAGTCGTTGAAGCTTTCATGTAGGTAGTTGTATAGAGAATGGCGCTCATGGTGTCTCAAACGGCGCTTCGGCCGTTGCGTAATTCGTAACATATCATTGTTACTCAATTTAATCTCCTATTGTTAATAGTCCAGGGATATTGTAATTAATAACCAGAATTAACCGTTGAAGGTCATCGAGGATTCTAAGGAATGTTGAATCGTATTAGTTTCGTTATTTCGATGTGTCAGCATGCTAATTCAAACGTTCGCTAATCAGTGAATTAAATGTGAAGTTCAGACGTTTTATACAGTTTGATATTTATAATTTACTATTTAAACTACGGACAAAGATCGACGAGACTTGATTAGTTAGCGTTCCATTAGCACGTTTTTAGTACTTTGTCCTTTACGACATAGGGAAATAATCATATCATAAATCAATATACAGTTACTCGAACAATTTTATTGCGATTGTTTTCAAAAAGATAATCTCGAATATAGCGTAATTAATCCTAGTACTGTTAGTTTTTCGATTATAATTTTAATAACTTCAATAATTTCAATCATCCTGAATCTTTGAACGTCTTCTGGAATGTGTTTCATACATCATATGAGTTATGTGTCACGTTGAATTACAAATGCGAGTGATTGTATATTGGATGTTACATATCTGTATTTTTATGAGCTTAGTTTCCTAAGTAGAGAACGTTTCTGTTCCGAAGCCACTCGTTTAATTCGTCGTGGGAAATCGTACAATATTTAGGTAATACGTAGACGTACGTTTCTATATATGTATATATGCATATTAATAATTATCATGTGCCAGTGACTCGCACGTAAAGCTTTACGAGTACTTCTGAATCTATTTCCGCTACATAGAAACTTCCTTTCATTGCGTGTCTATGCTCGACATATACCTAACTCAAGGAAAATTCTTGTTCTGTATTAGTAGACGCAATACAATTGTTTATGGTTTTATCAATTGCCTTACGGAAATTAATTAGGTTGGAGCATATGAAAAGTCGTTTTTTATATGGTTTCAGTGATATTTAATGCATTCACCATGACGTGAGTTATCTTATCAGAATTAATGAAGAGGATTCTGTAGAATCATTGTTGGTCATCCTGTTACAATTGAAAAACTATTAAAATTGGTAGTGTGACATTTTGGTGGCCATTCAGACTTAATCGTTAGAAATTTTGTAAGGATGTTGAATGATTCATCTGTGACCAGTTTTTTACCAGTAACAAAATGACAGTAAGACGTATCAATTGTAATTCTGATCAATGAATAATAATCAAAAGTTTCCTATGACCATCGTCTCTCTTGAGACTGATTGTGACTTATCTTGACTTGCTACTAACCACGACGACTCACTAGTAGTTATACTGTCATAGTTAACAACAACCTACTGGACAAGACCAACTGTCAGTGGCCACTTGTGTGTAGAATTGCTAAAATCAGAATGGACAACAAGTTCTTCAATAGGTCATCGCATAATTTTTTATCATAAAATCAATATATCACTGCGCCATGTCATTGTGTTGCGTTAGGGTTTCATAAGCGAAGGCTTAACAATTTATTTGGAAAGGCATCGCTAGAAAACAATGTCGGCGAGGCTCGTCAAATTTTACGCTCGTGTCCACCGCATGTTCGTACCTACTCGTCAATACTCAGAAGTGTTGCGGGAAAACAAAGTTTCAAACAAAGTTTCCGGCAACAAGGCGCGCGATTTTTAATACTCGACGATTTCCGTCGAATATTACGACTTACGACCATCGAGGGGTTCGTAGGTTAGCAAAATAATCACGGTCGTGTGTACGTGTATTAGTCGATGAGGAGTCATCGTAGCTTCTGTATAGTCGGTGGAACCTATACAACATATTCCGAGCACCGAAACGACAATTACGGGGAGATAAGGAGCTTTAGCCTCGTTCTGGACCGTCGGATGTCGACTCGGAGAAAGTATGCGTCTTAAACCTTAACAACTGACGATTTATTTTTACTAATACGGCAATTGTTATTAAGCAAGGAAGACGGGGACTTAATACCGTATAGTTTTAATGAAAGAATATAAGCAGAAATTTTAAATATCAATTCACAAATTACTTCTACACCCTAAGAATCAAGTTTCCTACTTCTATGAGACGCGTACGTCTCTGGGTGTAGTTTCATCAACTAAGCCGTCGCCGCTTGACATTTCAATTTACAACAACGCTATATAGGTCCCACCGACTGTACCTATCTCGTTCGTCGCGATCTTTCGAATTGTCGTGAGTGCTTTGAGTTCACAGTGCCTGAATATTCGGGTTTATACCCTCTCCATGTCGTACACTCCTAACTCCCGAACAATGTGTATACTCAACTATAAGCAGCGTAAAGTTTTTAGGTGTGTAGTTTAGCCATGTTCTCATGTAGACGATTTTGTTTTCGTAGGGTAGGTATACATGATGAGTCAGTTATACTGATGCGCCTGGAACAATTTATAAATCGTATTTTACTGTAGACGTCTTTGTACTGCAGAGGTGATTAGTGTGTGGGGGGGAGGGGGGGGATGGATGTATTAATTAATTTCAATTAAGGTTCAAGGCCACCTTT